TGAAAGAAGTTAATCTTATGCTCCACCCCAGCCTTCCGAATGAACGGCAATCCGAACTCATAGGCTTCTTTATTCAGATCGATTGCTGTAATCTGAAAAAGTTCATGTTGAAACTCCAGAACTAATTACTAATGTAAGTCAAGATGAAAAGTTTTATTTATTTATTATTTAATGAAAATTAAAAATTAAAATAAAAAAGAACGAAAAAGGAAGAATACTTTTCCATCAGAAGGCAGTGCAAGAGCTGTAGTAAGAAGTGAATAGCCAGTAAATACTCCGAGCTCCAGTGTCTTCTTTGCATTCATGAGCTTCATAAGCATGGAGAGCAACAGCCCTTCATCAACAGGCACATTCATAATGCTCCTGCAATTAATTAGATCAAACTGTAATTATTGAGGTTAAAGTTGGTATTTTCTGAAAAGTTATATTAGTTTCTTTGATCAAGAAATTTATTAGTTCTGGAAAAAAAAGATCAAGGAATTTATTAGTTGATAAAAAAAAAAATCAAAATAACTTACCAATATTACTAAAAAACATTCTCCTTATGATAAGATCTTGCATTAATTAATTTATTAGAAGCAATAGTCTTAAATTAAATGAAATATATGTATTAGACGACATTCACTCATGAAACTATAATCAAATAAACTGATGAACACAATACTTTCTGTAAACAATGAAAATATTAACGATTATTCAAATGGTATAAATTTGGCTAATTTTTTGCAAGGGCGATATATTGGAATGATGACCTAGAAAATAAACAGTTTGGATCATGAGATGACACTGTGGAGTTGGCCCAAATGAATTGCTAGCGTTGTATTAACTTACTAACCAGCTAGCGCTTAAATGCTCTTGTATATACATATATGTAAATGCAAATATTCAATATACCTGAACTGGTATTTCTCGACAGTGGCTTCCCTTAGTTGCTTCAACTGCTCATGTTCTCTTGGATAGCAGCTTGTTTCAAGGATGTACTATCACAAGAAAGGCCAATGGTTATCTTGTGAGGGAAAGTAAATCTAAAAGTTTAAGGCTAGTAATTTAATTTCACTTGTCACACTGCACCTATGTCTTTGGTTACTGTTGTAGTTTGAACTCTAAAGAAAAAAAAATATAAAATCATGAACCAGCTGAAACAAGTTTATGAAGAAACACTATAGCTCTTCACACCCACAGTTAATAAATAATAAAACAAATAAAAATTGCAAGGAAAACAAGAAATAATTTCAGTCCTAGCAAAACTGCTTCTTTAATAAAAATTGAAAAAAAAAAATATCAATCAATCGTCTATGGCCTTGTTAACAGCATTTGAAATTGAGGAAAAGAAAATGAACCTTTAGAAGAGCTGGGGTTTTGAGGATGATCTTCTCTTGTTTTCCTGCTTCCATCCTCTTCTCAACAAAAACTAAACTAAACTATTCTTAATAACTCTCCATCTTACCACCTTTTATTGCGAATCTCAGCATAAAGCGTAATAACCCAAACCTTAAATAATATTTAATTATAAATTATTAGAGAGAAAATACAAAAATGCCCTTGAGATATTTTAGTTGTGAAAAAGTTGACTTTTTGACCGGGGAAGAATTTGGTAAACCATGTTACACTTTTTTCCAATTTATTTCTCTGTTTGTGGTTTATTACACCTGTTGCAACCCATTTAATGTGAAATAATGGGTTAGACTGAGATATTTTAGAAGTTAACTTGTGATCGGTAAAATGTTGTAACAAATAGGTTAACAATCTTTTGTACTATTCTGAGTTGGCCAATATTTTCATGGACCAAGGAAAGAAGAAACCTAGAACACCTCAAGAGTAATTACCAAAGGGTTAAATTTGCATTATTTAGTTTCTTCTCTGTCTAGTGTAAATATTTATGTCGGCATGTCTATATTCTACTTTCTATTTTAAGTTGCCTAGTGAAACTATTTTTGTTTTTCAGACAAGAAGGTGCTCAAGAGTTCCTTAGCTTCATTATAGATCAAATGCATGATGAATTACTTAAGCTTGAAGGACAGCCCTCGAGTATTAATGGGCTCAAATCATCTCTAGTATCTTCTGCAGAAGAAGATGAATGGGAGATGGTTGGCCCTAAGAATACATCTGCAGTAACCAGGACACAGTTTTGTTCCTTCAGAATTAACAGCAGGCATTTTAGTCATGAGCTATGTCAGGCAATGGCACTTTTTCAAGCCATTAGACAAATTGTAAAGCATGAGAATTATCAATCAAGCCTAATAATACTGAAGGAAAACCATTACCGATCAATACAAGATTTATGAGAATCACAAAGTAACAAAATTGCACTACATGTTTGACCTTTCTTGTTTATTTGGAAATACTGAAAAGATACTAATATAAGGAAAGAAAGGAAACAGTGCATAAGGGATTTAAAAGAAAAAAAGTGGCCAGAAGCAAAGAAAGTTGTCAATCCTCTCAATTTCAGCTTCATCTTCTTCTTCCCTTCTTCCCAATGTCTCATTCTCCTCCTCAAAATGCTGCTCTTCATTTCTCACCCCACAAACCCACACCAACAGCAACCCATTTCTGCCCATTGTGAAATCCAAGAAGAAGAAACCAGTGGGCGTGACCATGAGCATTGAGGCAGGCATAGGAGTTATGGCCACGAAGCTCGGCATGATGAGCTTCTTCGAACCCAACGGCAAAGTTGTCCCAGTCACAGTGGTGGGTTTCAAAGAAGGCAACATAGTGACCCAGGTCAAAACCGAGGCCACCGACGGATACGATGCCGTTCAGGTGGGCTATCGCCGAGTCAGGGACCGAAAACTGACGAAACCCGAAATGGGTCATATCCAGAAGGCCGGTTCAATCCCCCTGCGCCATCTCCAGGAGTTTCGGCTCCAGAGCGTTGATGGGTTCGAGCCAAACCAGAAGCTTTCGTTCGACGAGCTCTTCAACGAAGGAGACATTGTTGATGTCTCTGGAACCACAATCGGGAAAGGGTTTCAGGGTGGGATTAAGAGGCACAATTTCAAGAGAGGGCAAATGACTCATGGGTCCAAAAGTCACAGAGCTCTTGGGTCAATTGGGGCCGGAACGACGCCAGGGCGGGTTTACAAGGGGAAGAAGATGCCTGGAAGAATGGGAGGGACCAAGACCAAGATCAGGAAGCTCAAGATTGTGAAGATTGATAAGGACCTCAATGTTGTTATGATCAAAGGTGCTCTTCCTGGTAAGCCTGGCAATCTTCTTCGCATAGCTCCAGCTAAGATTGTGGGCAAGAACATTCCTAAGAGTTAGTTCTTTTTTTATTGTGAATTTTGTATTGTCATTGACTCTCTCATATGAATGTCTTGCTTCTCCTTTAATTAGTGCTTTGTGAATGTTTGCGTGGTATGATATTTGGAAGCACTTCACTTGATTGAGGGAGCAAGAATCACTTTTTATGTCATCTTAAATTCAATTAGTGTGTTATGAAAATGCTAATCTTTTGTGAAATTATGTTTGATTTAAGCGGCAAATATGAGGGCAATGTGTGATAGAAAGCAACAATTTTGGCCCAAGGATGAATTGACTCGTCTCCTCAAAACTAGGAAATCAATTGAGTAGAGCATGATCTGTATTGTGTCTGCCTGATTGTTCTGTATCATCACTCCATGATCTAGTTTCAAACAATGAGATCTTATGGTCACGTTCGGTGCTTAAAATTAGATTTGGTTTGGCAACTCATAAGACTAGATGAAAGTAGGGTTGAAGAATTTTTCATTTTGTGGGGATTAGACGGGATAAGTCATAAGGTGTCGATACCAACCATTTGGTGGGCTGTGGTTTCTACAGAGTTTAGTGAGTTATCTTGCTTTGTTATATATATGCAGATTAGATAATGTGGCAGAGCTGTTTATTATTGTATTGCAATTTCTGTGCTCTGCTGGGTAGCTGTTAGGCTGGGTTCACCTTGTCCTTTGTCACTTTTTGTAAATTATGTTTGCACTCGTTTAGCGTTCATAAGTTGGGTCAAGATAAATTATGAAGTTGGGGATGAGAGAGACATTAATCAAAACCCAAGTACATTGGTAAAGGTCCTTGGGTCAAGATTAAACTGCAATCATCCCTGAGATGAAAGCTTTCTGGGTTATAGCTGCATTTTTTGGGTGCATTGGGATCGGATTGAACTCGTGACGTATTCTAACCCTAACCCATTTCCTTACTCCCTCACCACCTGAATGAGTCCTAGGGGCTTTTGCAGGTAGAGATTGGAAGAGCTGAAAGGTTTTCTTTGTAATATACAAAGCTTATCTCATCAGACAAAGGGAAAAGGACTAATCTTCCATCATACAAAGCTCATCTCATCAAGTGAGGAGATTATGTTTACCAATACATGGTCAACCACATTATTTGAAGATAAATGTTAACCATTTTACAGAGAACTTCAACAGAGTACACTGAAATAGTTTTTCTTCCTAATAGAGGCGCCTGCAGAGGGTGAGGCCATCGCCGATGGAAACGTGAGCCAATTCGATACGGGAATCCGCGGCTAGAAAGCTGTTCAATTCCCTCGTATGTTTTCTGGATGGCCTTAAATGTTCCTCTACCATTTCCTCAGGCTCTGCCACTGAGCCAAACAACACTGTGTTATCGAATGCTATTATCCCACCAACCTTAACAAGCTTTATCAGCAGCTCATAATATTCAACGTAAGTGTCCTTGTTAGCATCCACAAATGCAAAATCAAAGCTCCCTTCTTCGTTCCCCTGCTTGCTTGTTTGAAACTCCAAATCAAAATACAATTCTATCTATATGAACCAATGATAAAACTAAAACTATTTCAGGCTAAAGTTTTCTCGTTGGCTTATGTTGCTAAATTGTGAATCCGGACTACACGTTCAAGTAAAGTGTCAACTTAATCAATAACATAGATTGATATATGTTGCTAGATTGTGAATCCATACTACAATTGATAGTCTAGCAACATACAACGATGAATGCTTTTTCAGAAATCCTTCTTTAAAAAAAATGGGCATATGTATAAAGTACAAACTTACATTGGTAATGAGATCATTTAGGACGGAGAAGGCATCCGACTGAAAGAAGTTAATCTTATGCTCCACCCCAGCCTTCCGAATGAACGGCAATCCGAACTCATAGGCTTCTTTATTCAGATCGATTGCTGTAATCTGAAAAAGTTCATGTTGATACTCCAGAACTAATTACTAATGTAAGTCAAGATGAAAAGTTTTATTTATTTATTATTTTAATGAAAATTTAAAATAAAAATAAAAAAGAACGAAAAAGGAAGAATACTTTTCCATCAGAAGGCAGTGCAAGAGCTGTAGTAAGAAGTGAATAGCCAGTAAATACTCCGAGCTCCAATGTCTTCTTTGCATTCATGAGCTTCAGAAGCATGGAGAGCAACAACCCTTCATCAACAGGCACATTCATAATGCTCCTGCAATTACTTGGATCAAACTGTAATTATTGAGGTTAAAGTTGGTATTTTCTGAAAAGTTATAGTAGTTTCCTTGATCAAGAAATTTATTAGTTCTGGGAAAAAAAGATCAAGGAATTTATTAGTTGATAAAAAAAAATCAAAATAACTTACCAATATTACTAAAAAACATTCTCCTTATGATAAGATCTTGCATTAATTAATTTATTAGAAGCAATAGTCTTAAATTAAATGAAATATACGTATTAGACGATATTTACTTATCAAACTATAATCAAATAAACTGATGAACACAATACTTTCTGTAAACAATGAAAATATTAACGTAATGATTATTCAAATGGTAAAAGTTTGACTAATTTTTTGCAAGGGTGATATTGGAATGATGACCTAGAAAATGAACAGTTTGGATCATGAGATGACATTGTGGAGTAGGCCCAAATGAGTTGCTAGCGTTGTATTAACTTACTAAGCCAGTTAGCGCTTAAGCGCTCTTGTATATACATATATACTCGTTAATGTAAATGCAAATATTCAACATACCTGAACTGGTATTTCTCGACAGTGGCTTCCCTTAGTTGCTTCAACTGCTCATGTTCTCTTGGATAGCAGCTTGTTTCAAGGATGTACTATCACAAGAAAGGCCAATGGTTATCTTGTAAGGGAAAGTAAATCTAAAAGTTTAAGGCTCGTAATTTAATTTCGCTTGTCACACTGCAACTATGTCGTTTCTTGTCTCCATTTGGTTACTGTTCTAGTTTGAACTCTAAAGAAAAATAAATATAAAATCATGAACCAGCTGAAACAAGTTTCTGATTTGCTAAAAATGAAGAAACACTATAGCTCTTCACACCCATCAGTCCTAGCAAAACTGGTTCTTCAATCACTCAATCGTCAACACGAAAAAAATAAAAATCTATAAGAAAAATTCAATCGTCTATGGCCTTGTCAACAGCATTTGAATTGAGGAAAAGAAAATGAACCTTTAGAAGAGCTGGGGTTTTGAGGATGATTTTCTCTTGTTTTCCTGCTTCCATTTTTCCTCTCAACAAAAACTAAACTATTCTGTAAGTTTGTGAAAAAAGAATCAATTCTTAATAACTCTCTATCTTACCTTTTATTGCGAATCTCAGCATAAAGCAACTGCGAATACCATTATGAACTTTCATGTCATGTGATTTTGAATGTAAAGAACCCATTCTGCCTGGATTAATTCATCTTTCCTACAACCAACTGGTTTTAATTAATATCATATAACATATTACTACGAGTTCATGTATCTCTCTTATCACGTGATAAATCACTTGACCAACGAACGAACTCGTAGTTATATAAAAGAACCTCACACACACCCTTCGATTAAATTTGTGTGTCCGTATTTCAAAACACAAGTATTGAAATTGTTTTGTTTAACGGTCAATTTTGTTAGATAATTTATACGAAAAAAGGACTAAAGACGGCTAAATTATAGAGATAAAAGGATATAGTAGCACAAATAAAAATTAGAAACCAATACATGAAAAAGATTCCAACATCATACAAAGCTCATCTCATCAAGTGTGAGGAGAATATGTTGAGAATATGTTTACCAATACACATCAACCACATTATTTGAAGACAACAGTTTGATTCATTAGAGAAGTTCAACTGAGCACACTGAAGTTGAAGTTGTTACTTCCTACTCGAGGCGCCGGCAGAGGGCGAGGCCATCGCCGGTGGTAACATGAGCCAGTTCGATACGGGAGTCGGTGGCTAGAAAGCTGTTGAAATCCCTCGTATGTTTTCTGAGTGGCCTTAACATTTCCTCCACCGTCTCCTCAGGCTCTGTCACTGAGCCAAACCACAATGTGTTGTCGTATGCTATTATTCCGCCAACTTTAACAAGCTTCAGCATCAGCTCATGATATTCAATGTAGTTGTCCTTGTTAGCATCCACAAATGCATAATCGAAGCTCCCTTCTTCCTTCCCCTGCTTGCTTGTTTAAAACTCCAAATCAAAATACAATTCTATCCAATGGCAGACCCAGACTTTCGTTCATCTGGGGGCTTAAAAAAATTCAACCAATATATAATCAAACAAATCAAAGCATTGGGCTTTTTTAACATAGGATTTAGGATTTTTCTTTTTTAATATAAGCTTTGGGCTTAAAGTGTATGTATTGAATGGGCTATGTGGGGGCTTTACTTGAGAAGGATCTAAAAATAATTAAAAATAATGAATTTAAATGGGATTATATGGCTGAAGTTTTTGGGTAAGTGTGGGCAGCTGCCCACAGTTGGCATTAATTGGGTCCGCCCCTGATTCTATCCATATGAACCAAGAATTCCGGATAATGTTCTCTTGTAGATTTATGTTGCTAGACTGAAAATTTGGACTACATGTTCAAGTAAAGAGTCAACTTAATCACTAGCCTAGATTGATCGTTTGGCAACATACGATAGTTCAATCAAAGAATAATTTTCAAACTACTTGTACGTTGTTGTTTGTTAAACAAAAATACGTACGTGTGTAACGTGAGTAACGTACAAACTTACATTAGTAATGAGATCATTTAGGACTGAGAAGGCATCCGAGTGAAAGAAATTAATTTTATGGTCCACCCCAGCCTTCTGAATGAACGGCAATCCAAACTCGTAGGCTTCTTTATCTGGATCGATTGCTATAATCTGAAAATTTCATGTTGAAACTCCATAACTAATTACTAATGTTAATGAAGTATATATCAAACCAAGCTGAAAAGTTTTTATTTATTTATTTATAATTTCAATGAAAATTGACAACAAAAAGAAAAAAAAAAGAAGAAGAAGAAGAAGAAGAAGAATACTTTTCCATCATGAGGCAGTGCAAGAGCAGTAGTAAGAAGAGAATATCCAGTAAATACTCCGAGCTCTAATGTCTTCTTTGCATTCATGATCTTCAGAAGCATGGAGATCAGCAGCCCTTCATCAACAGGCACATTCATAATGCTCCTGAAGTTGGTATAGGGCTCATTTTAGAAAGACATTGGTTTTATTTTTTTGCTTATATATACATATATATATACGCACACACACAAAGGAATACACAAAGGAGTGCTCAGCTATAATCGGTTAGTAAGTTAATACGATACTAACCGCTTGTTTGAGCCTACTTCATGATGTAATCTAATAATCAGAACCATTCAAATTTTTTATCATCATTCAATCCAAATCCGAAATCGTTTAGCTACTTGATTATTATTGTGAACATTTTCTTGTTTATTGAAAATATTGTGTTCGTCTATTTATTTGATTAGAGTTAGATAACTAAACGCGTTTCAATTTGAGTGAATTTTTGCTGGAATGGTTTTTCATTGATGATCTAAAAAGTAAACAATTCAAATCATTAGATAAATTGTGAAGTGGGCCAAAACGAGTGCTTAGCGCCATATTGAGTTACTAATTGACTAGTGCTCGATGGCTTATTTAGTTAATATAAATGCAAATATTCAACATACCAGAACTTGTATTTCTCGACAGTGGCTTCCCTCAGTTGTTTCAACTGCTCATGTTCTCTTGGGTAGCAGCTTGTGTCGAGGATGTACTGCAATAACACAAGAAAGGCCAATGGCTATCACGTAGGGGAAAGTAAATCCAAAAGTTAAGGTTAATTTAGTAATTTGATTTTACACCCTACTAGTTTTATCTTTCTGCTATATGCTTGTAGTAATTATTTATTTTTTTAATCATAGAGAAACTTCATTAGTTAAATTTCAATAATACAATCAAAGACATCAACACGACATCTAACGCACAAATCCCAAGCGGACAACAAACTCACATGCTAAAAACAAAACTAAAACATACTAGTTTTATCGTTCTGCTATTCGCTTCTTGTATAATATAAAAAGAAACATTTGAATACAAATGAAAAAAAGGACAGAAAATTGGGTATTGCCTTTGAAAGATAATATATAAAAAATCATGAACCCAGCTGAAAACAAGTTTCTGATTTATTATAAAATGAAGAAGGAAAACTACAAAACTACTTTGCTTCTTTATTTACTCAATCGTCTAAAGCAAAAAAAAAAAGTTTCAAAAATATGAATTCAAATTATCTTTGTTAACCAGATTGCTACACAGAGAGGAAAAGAAAATGAACCTTTAGAAGAGCAGGGCTTTTGAGGATGATCTTCTGCTCTTGTCTGCCTTCTTCTGCCATGCTCAACAACAACACCAACTATATTATAACTTTGTGAAACTAGAACCAATTCTCAACTCTATCTCCAAAATGTGAGAAAACTTTGGTGCTTTTATAATGTTGTGTTAAATTTTGCGTCCGTATTGCAAAATACAATTATTGGATTCTTTTACAAATTCTTTGGTTGTTTTGAAACCTTGTGTTTAATAGTCAAATTTCAATTCATTTCTGGGAGTATATTTCCCGTGTATTACCACCACATTAATTGTCGTTGCATGTGTGATTTAATGTAATTGCTACAAAAATCTCAAAAATTAAACTCATCTAACGGCAACCAACTAACGTTTATATAAGCCAGTTAAGCAATTAAATATTCCCGGACCTTTATGTGCTTTACTTCATAATAAATTGGCCTTGATCAACGTTGAGATGAAAATATTAAACGTTCTCTCTAACTTCAATGCTCAAAATTCGGACAAAACGTTGATCCGTCTAGTGGAAAGAGTCTTGACTTACAGATATGGGATCTCAGGTTCAAACTCTCATGGCACCTTTACAATGTGTTTGTGAGAAAACTTCACTCCCTTAATATCACTTGTTGACAAAAAGAAATAAAAACACTGCAATGCTTAAAATCAATATGAAGCCATGTCCTCCATAAGAGCCTCTCACTCCTCGCCTAGACCCTCCCTGCATTTACCAAAAAAAATATAAAAAAAACCATAAAGAATTACTTGAAATCCCCTCACCTAAGCGACAGGGATAGCCGTAAATGCAAAATTAATTTATGGCCCCTACAAGTAAATCAATTTGGAATTTACGGCTATTCAAAGCCCTTTTTCACTTAGCTAAAGTAAAATTAAATGTTTGAAGTTAGGTTTTGTTTTTCCAAAGTAAAATTAAATGTTTGAAGAGTTAAAGTCAAGTTACCAGTCCTAAAGAGAGAAAAAGAGGTTGTAGCTTCGATGACTGAGGTTGAAGAGGCTATTGGAGAGAATTTTTTTTATATGACTCACCTATTTTAGAATTTCGAGAAGCTGTTGAAGAGGATGTTGGAGATGCTCTTAGGAATACCAACTTTTTTTCCGTACTAGGTGAGCAAGAGACTTAAAACAAGTGGACCCTGATGGTCGAAAGGAGAAGTGAATCCAATGGGAAAGGTGCAAGTGGAGAAGAAAATAGTATTTGGTTAGTTAGGTAGCGTTTATATAAATAAATAAATTTTGCATTCCGATAAGTAAATTGATGGCCCCCTACAAGTAAATAAATTTTGCATTTACGGCTATCCCTGTGGCTTAGGTGAGAGGATTTCAAGTAATACAAATAAATAAACGCCATATATATATATATATATATATATATATATATATATATATATATTTATTTATTTATTTATTTATTTATTTATTTTTGTTTTAGAAATTCTGGAATTGCATTTATAATTCAGCCAAAAAAGTCACTAACTACAAAGGGCCATTACAAACTAGTTACAAAATGCCATTACAATCTAGAGCTCCTCCACCAACGATCATGCATAATCGAAGAAACTCTAAACGCCAGATAATTTAGACTATCACTTATATAAATAAATAAATAAATAATTGTTTGCATGAATACAATAACCATATAGTTTTTAAAGTGCGAAACATATACTTTTTAAGGACAATTTCTTACATGCTTCAACTTAAAATGTTGTCCTAATTAAGCATTCACGAACTCACATTAAGGATACAGGTGTCGCAGGAAGCGACTGGTCGCAAGGTAGGCGCGACCGGTCGTTTTGAAGCAGAGTCGAAGAGCTGGAAAAATGCAGCAAGCGACCAGTCGCCAGGTTGGTGCGACCGGTCGCCCGCGTTCTGTGTTGATTTTTTCCACATGTTTTCAAGTTCGTTTCACATGTGTTAATTTTCTACCTAA